TTGGAGGAGGACTACTCATTTGGTTGGAGATTGGGGACCAGGACACCGCATGCTTGTCTATCTCTTTATCTTGGTCATCTGGTAGGCTTAGCGTGCAGGCTAACTCTGCCTGTGGGAAGGGAGGCCTGCGATGGCTGGTGCTGCCTGTGGCTAAGTGGGTATCCCTAATTCTGGGTGACTAGTAGGCAAGAATGAAGCCACACCCTCCAGTACAACTTTTATTACTAATAAAACTGATATTTTTATCTCTATCCTCCTGAAGTCTGCATCTGTCTCTGAATTGGCTTTCAAAGTCAGATCAGGAACAAGGGTGTCATCCACTGGCACATCAAAACTCCAACATTTAATGCCATCCCCTTCCTATTATCCAAGCAACCTTGAACCCTATGAATTTAGAAGATTAAGGTATTCAGACAGGATCATCCCCAAACGTCTTCCCCATCACTGTACATTTGCCATTCTACAACCTTCTCTACACTCAAGGAATCCTCCACTTCCTTCCTAAGACCGATTTCTCTTTCAATTCCTCTAGTTACTATCTTGTCTTCTTCTAGGTAGGTCTCCATTACCAGTCACTTCTCTTTCTGGTCACATGGGAAAAGGATGCCAAATAAAAAGATTTCAAAGCCACAAATTGCTGATTTCCCATCAAGCCTACAGGCAATCCAGGATGGAGCGTGATGTCTCATGCCTGTAATCCCAGCACTCTGGGAGGCTAAGGCAGGAGGACTGCTTGAGGCCAGGAGTTCCAGACCAGCCTGGGCAACACAGTGAGATCCTGTGTCTACAAAATATACAAAAATTAGCTGGGTGTGGTGATGCACCCCTGTAGCCTCAGCCACTCAGGAGGCTGAGACAGGAGACTCACTTGAGCCCAGGAATTTGAGGCTGTAGTGAGCTATGATCATCTCACTGTACTCCAGCCTGGGCAACAAAGCAGTACCCAGTCTCTAGAATTGGGGAAAAAAAAAAAAAAAAAAGACAAAACACTTTAATCCATATCCTCAAATCTGACAAGAAACCACTTAACCCAGAAAGTTTTGGGGTAATCAGAAAATGCTATTATAGGTTTAGCTCATCTGAGACCCATAGCTTCTTAAGTACAAGGCCAACTACATTTAAAATGTATAATTTATGAGTTGTATCCTGCATATTGTGAAATGTCAGACATTAATAAAATGTATGTAAATTGATAGACAATTTATATTGTAGACAATATAAAAAAAGCAAAGAAGAGGCAACGTACCCCACATATTTCAAAATCCTATAGTAATATATTTTATAATTTAATATTAAGTTTGGCGTTAAGCTTCCTTGAAGCCATGGAAAAAAGGAAAACACACTGGATAACATAATTCTCGTTGTTTGAGAAAGGAAGTTGGGTCTCAGACAAAATTTTGCCAGGAAAGATTCTTTCTAGCCCAATTGCTCTTGAAACTGTGAACCTGTGATAAGGGATGCTGAACCACAAAGAGAACAGTGTGCTCCATAGTGGATCTGCAGAGGACACCGATAGCCTCAAAGCACCCAATGATAAGGACTTATGTTGCCAAATGTTCTCCTGGAGCAATGAGGACAGAACACATGGGTTGACGAGGTCTACTTTGGCCATGCTGCCAGAAGTTGACCAGACATGGTGGCCCATGCCCGTAATCCCAGCACTTTGGAAGGCTGAGGCAGGAGGACAGCTTGAGCCCAGGAGTTTGAGACCAGCCTGGGCAACATAGTGAGACCCTGTCTCTACAAATAATAATAAAAAAGGAGTTGTCTATAAAATGTTGTTATCCCACCAGCCCTCATGGCTCTTTGATGTTATCCCTTTGAGCAAAAAGATCGTCCCAACACCAACACTTGTTATCCTTCCTGTGGCACAATCCTTTGGCTCTTGAGTCTGTTCCTACTTCCTTGTAGTAAAACCAGTGTCTTGAACCTGGAGGGAGCATAGTTGGTTTCCTTTTTGATATTCCAGGAGGGAACTCATTGAGGATGGGATAGAAATTTATATTCGAATCAGGAGAAAAGCTTTTAAGTCATTCATTCATTCAAAAAAATCTCGAGGCTGAGGCAGGATTGCTGAGGCCAGGAGTTTGAGACCAGCCTGGGCAACACAGTGAGACTTCCTCTCTACTAAAATTTAAAAAAAAAAAAAGAAAAAGAAAAACTAGCCAGGCGTGGTGGCGCATACATGTATTCCCAGCTACTTTGGAGGCTGATATGGAAGGCTCGCTTGAGCCCAGGAGGTTGGGGCTGTGGTGAGACCTGATTGTGCCACTGCACTGGGCACAGAGTGAGACCCTGTCAGAAAAAAAAAAAGGCTCGCTCCTACTATGTGGAGATGTGCAGGCTCTAGGTATGTCATGGTGGACAAAAACTAGACATGGCCCTGCCTTCAGGCAGCTTAAGGCCCGAGGGTCCTGACCTAGTCTAAGGTGTGAGGTGGTGAAGTCTCCCATAAGGAACTGGCATTTGGGCAGAGATCCAAGGAAGAGGAGCAGGGAAGGAGGGTGAGGTGCATCAGACAGAGGGCACAGCCCATGCAGAGCCCCTGTGGCAGGAAGGAAGCAGTGCTTTGAGGAAATGAAAGAAGGCCGAGAAATGGAATACAGAGCATGAAGGAGAAGATAGTCCAGGGCAAAGCTGGAGAGAGGGCAGGGCCTTGCAGGCCTAAGGACAGTGGGGGCCCCAGAGGGCTTTTCAGGAGAGCCAGTGCAGGAGGGAACAGGATCCCTTGAGAGCTGACAGCGTAACATGGATTGAAAGAGCAGAAATAAATATGGAGAGCTCAGGTAGGGGCAGCTACAGGAATGGAAGTGGAAATGATGGAAGCCTGTACGAGGTACGTTGGGGTAGGGATGGAAAAAATAAGTGAACCAGGATGTATTCATGAGGGGAAGTAAACAGAACTTCATGATTGTTAGTGAAGAAGAGGGAGGTGCCACAATGATTTGCCAGTTTGCTAATTGAGCTTAATGGCGATGCCATTCACAGACACTAGAGTCCAAGTTTGGGAGGAGAACCCTGAGAGCAGGGCCCCTAAGACATCTAAGTGGGCATGCTTGGTAGGACTTGGGGTTAAATATCCTCCTGCAACCCAGTGTTGTGTCAATCAATGCTGAATCATATTGCAAATCTCATTGCAGGACTGAATGCTGGATCTTACAAACTGTTAAAACTTTATGATAAAAAAACATGGTTAAATTGTTAGCATTATATAGGTAAATTTCAAAGCTTTAAGAAAGAACCTTGAATTTAGTTTCTGCAAAGAAGCACTAAAAGCACCCTGCGTGGAGGAGAATGATTAATGGGTACCCATCCAGTGTGAACATGTTTATAAAATTGAGTCACGAGAATCAGTAGCTCAGCTCTGAAAGCTACCAAGACAACAGGGAGACAAGGCATGGGCTGACATGCTCCTAACGAGACCCTACAAACTGAATGGTGGTGGTGAACACACCACCGAGAGAAGAGCAGGAAAATCATCAAATGGGAAATGGCGATGCAGAAAATAAAACTAATTTTATATAGAACGAATATTAAAGAAATAGCAGAAATGCCTGAGTACTTCAAGTTTGAGTTTTAAAGTAGTCACAGGTGCCCAAAATTAGGTACAAATAACTACTTTTATTTCCATCCTCCCACCTTATCCCTTGCTTCTCAGCTGGCCTGGCTAAGAGGGAAGGAAAACTCCCTTCTCCTCAAGCCTCCTCCTCTTTCTGTCTTGGGCATTCACCTGTGAGTCAGCCTAGACAAGGCCAAGGGAAACGGAGGGGCAAGAATGTGCTCCCATCACTCCTGGGATCTCAGCCGAGGGAAACAGGAAGCAGCATGTTTTCTCTGCCCTACACACTTTCATCCCTATTACGTGTGCACAGAGCCCCCAGAGAAAAATGCAATTTGGTAGTGACCTGATAACCACATTCTTGGCGCTTTGGTCCAAGAATGGTAAAAATCCAAGGAATGCCGGGGAAGGGAGAGGGGGAGGCAGAGCAAAACAAAACACAATCTCCACTGTAAATGACTGGTTAAAATTACATTCAAGTTAATGTCTAACTAAAAAGTGGAAATTTGACTATCTACATGGGGTGCCTTATCTTTCTCATGAAGAAATAATTTTTATACCTTGAAAGTTTAGCAATTACTGTTAAAATATCAAAGAAACATTTCAAAGTTTTGTTAAAAATTTACCTTGGTAAGGAAGAAAGGTGGTGCAGGTAACCCTAGAGTTTAGCTGGTTGGATTTGGTTGGGTCACAAGGTGACTGGGTCTAGGAGGGCACCAGGGCCAGGGACCCACAGTTGCCATCTCCCCTCCTGTGGGCTGGGGCAGAGTTCACTGGCCTGAACATGCGCCAGGGAGACCTACGGTGCATCTATGAATTCTGTTGTAATTGTTTGGGAACTATCAGCTGCAATATCTTTTTGAAGTCCCATCCTGTTTTTATGGCTCTCAATGTGTCTATTAGGAAACTTTAATTCTGTGTACTCAAGGATAGAAAGCAGAGCTAGGCATGGCTCCTCTGAGCTCATCCTTCTGGCCACCTTGGCATTGAAACCCTTTCAAACAGTGTGTTATCAGTCACCAAGATCTTTAGCAAGCTGAAAATGCTTTTAGTACATGATAAAGGCTCTCAAAACTTACATGATAAAAAGTGCAGACAGTGAAGGTCAATTGCTCCTGTCTACCCTTTGCCAGTTGCTCTTTCCCAGCTTAGGATAGAGCAATACTACCAAGTTTGGAAAATGTCACCATTTCTGTCCCTCCTGACCTGACTTCATTTACTCATTCATTGATTCACACATCCTGCATTCATTCACTCTGCATTTATTAAGCATTACCGCGGAGATTAGGCTGACCTTGCTGGGTACTGAGGATGTCAAGGTGTCTGAAAGACAGACCCTGCCCTAGTTTGGCGGCTCCCACCCTCATGGGGCCAGACACCTCACCCCCAACCCTGCACCCCACCCCTCCCAGTTCCCACTCTCAGGGGAGCCCCAGGAGGGAGCCTTTTCCTCTGCCCTGTGAGGCTGGGAAAGGTGTTGCCAAGGTGCAGCAAGCAGCTAGGCAGGATGAGGAGGGCAGTCCCCTGGGGAGGACCACGCTCGCAAAGGGAAGTTAGGAGCAAGAGCTGGGAGAAAGATGGCTTTCTGTAGCTTCCATTAACCTTGCGGAAACCCCCCCACTTTGGGGTAGGGGGTGAAGGTAGTCAAGAACTGTTAGGTTTTCTTTTGGCCAGGGATATTTGCAATAAATGTCATTCCCTTCTACATCCAATGCACAGTCATTACCTAGGAACTTTCTCACTATTTCGTGGGAACCCCGTTAAAACTTAAAGTTTAAATAAAACATGAGAACTCGGAGTGCATATTTAAATGAACTCTGGCATCCCTCATAGAGTGGGGCGCCCGAGTCTGCAAACCCTTGGCCCGCGGGCCGGCTGTGGGGACGCCACACGTACCTCTCAGAAGTGACCCGGATGCGCTCGTCGCTGGACGACTGCTGCTCGTCCTCCTTCTCCCGGAAGTGCTCCTGCACACACTGCTCCTCGAACTCATGCAGTCTCTTCAGCTCCTCGTCGCTAAGGAAGAGCTCTGTGTGAAGGGAGAAGTGTCGGCCACGTGAAAAACAAGAAGAATCAGTTTCGTGGCGTCAATGTGAATTTCACAGCCCCACTTTAATTAAACTCTCTTCTCTGCCATTTCTAAGGCAGTTCGCCTCTACTCCAATTGGTTTTTATCCAAAAAGGAGTTGTCATACGCCCCAACCCTGTATCAGTTGGAGCCAAACGGCCCGCTTTTAAACATTAAAAAAAAAAAAAAAAAATTACATTTACTGGGAAAGTAAAGCCAAGTAATATTTCCCGGAAAACTTTTTGCACTTATTTTTATGAATAGAGTGAAACGTGTAGCATTATTTTCTCATTTGCTTTAGATGCAACAAATTAAGACGTTTTGAAAGGAGCATTCAATTTATACAGAAATTTATAGAGTAGAGTTATTTTAGAGAATTAGCTCAACTTCTAATCTCCATGAGCTGGCTTTCCTAATATCAATTACTAACAAATTAACGAAACTAGAATAAAATGGATACAAAATGAGAAGCCTTTTGAAAAGAACAGCAGTTGGACTGAGTGTGGTGCTTTTCACACGAGCAAGTAGTTGAGTGAGATTTCTGTGAGGATGTCCAATTAGAACACTATTTTGAAATCAGCCCAACTTAGAAATGAAGAACCCTGCACATACTCAATCCACGATCCCGTTCCTCTTGGTCCCCTTCTCTCTTTTTCCTGCAGCGGCCGCTGAGACGCATAATGATGATATAGATGTGGCTTAAAATGATCATCGGTGGGGGCAGGACTGGCCTGTCATGAAATGTCATAATCAGCTGATATCGCTGAAACTTCCACACCTGGTTGGATATTGATTTTACTTCAAAGAAGGTATTGCTTTAAAAAGAAGACATTTTTACAGTTAATTACTTTTTATAGTGATTTCCCAGAGCAGTCAGAGTTACTCACATTTAAATGAAAATACTCAATGAGATGGCCTTTTAGTGCTCTTTAGCACTGATTCCTTGATTATTCAATCTTTTGGTTTATCCATCAATGTGGATTATCTGTGCTTAAGGACATTGTACTCATAAATAGCTAAGTTTAATAAATTGCTATGTACTGCTTTCTTGAAAAACCACACCACAATCTACTTGTATACTCAGGAAATTTAATTTCCTACATGTAGAGGTAAGAGCCATTTAACTAAACGTTTTCACATGTTTAAACTTTCAATTCAGTCTAACAAGTAGATGACTACTATTTTTTTTTTCCAACTGAATTAATTAGTTAATGTATTTATTTGATTGAAGGTTTGTTATTTTGGACGTGGGGTAGGTACAATCTTTGTCTTATTTTAGCTTCCAACAGGAAGCAGTAAGTGCATGATTTCATTTTCTACCAATACTGGGACCTTAGGAAAGCCAGTTACCTTCCCTGACCTTAGTTTTCTCATCTCTCAAGCCGGAAGTTTGGACCAGGTTTTCTCCAATGCCCTGTTCAATTCTAAGATTGCATATTTCTGTGAAGGATTTTTCCCTCTATATTTTTCATCTTAGAAGCTAAAATTTTTTTCAATATTTATTGAGCATGGTCAACATACTCAACACAACATGCCAAACAGGCAGGTTTTATAAGAAACTTGATTTAATCCTTTAAGCCATTTTTTTTTCTTAGGCCATTTTATCTTCTATTCTATAAATGATCAGAAAAAAATGCTTTACCTAATATTACAGTAATTGTAACAGCTTATGAAACTAATATTGCCTTTTGCACCTCTACTGATGAATGAAAAGCATGACTTGATCAAATCTTCTGTACCCCAGGAGACCTTCATCTAAGAAAATATTTTCATTAGATTAAAATACACACTAAAGTGTTAAAATACTAACCAAGATTAAATTTAAATGTATTTAAGTGTCAACTCTTGATTTATGAATACATTAAGACTGATTAAGTTTGAACAAAGAGACTGCAAAAATTGGATCTACTTAAAAACCCTAAATAAATTATCTGCAAATATATTAGTATCTTGGGAGAGTTCTGAGATTAGTATCTTGGGAGAGTTCTGAGTAATAAATAATAAGCATGTGCTCATCTGCTGTGACACGTACTTGAACACAGCAATCAGCAGGTTCACCAGCAGGATGTTGGCGACCAGTAGGTAGCATGCCATGAGTGCTGGCGTGAGCCAGGCACCGGGGATACAGGGAGGAAGCCGCTTGCCCTCCTCATCATATAGGTTCTCACCACAAGGAGCTGAAAGAAAAAAATTGTTTTGTGCTTGCTTTTTACATATAATGAAAAGGATAAATATCTCTTACATATGTTTTTCAATACCTATTTCTTTTTTAATATGATTTTTTTCTTATTTCATAAGCAATATTTTTCCATGGGAAAAAATAAACTCATACAAAGAAAAAGGTCAGAAACTCATATCTGCACTCAGAGATAGTCATTCTTTGTTATATTTCTAAACATTTTCCCATTTCTTTATTGTGGCTTTCAGATACAAAAGTCTTCATTTTTAAGCAGATAAATGTATCTTTATCTTTTTTCCCTTTATTGTTATCCATTTGAAAGTCATTGTGGCTTCTAATTATTTAACATTAGCGTATGTTGTCTTCTGGTTGTTTTCTTGGTTTCATTGATACATTAAATTTGAAAATATTTTTGTTATGTCGTATGGGTTAGGGATTCCCTCTACTTCCCAAATTGTTTAATCAACTGTTTTGGTGCCGTGTTTGAAAAATAATCTTTTCCCCCTCTGCTCATTTGAAATGCAACTTTTCATCACAGGGGGTCTATTTCTCCTCTAAAAAAATTAGGGTGATCCCAACAGTGAATATATGGTTCTCTTTACTTTTTACTGGCAATTTAAAAAGTACTAGCACCAAAAAACAAGAGAAGTATTTGAAAACAGTTTAAGACTACTAGTAATCAGCTAAGGAAAAGGTAATTAAGAAACACATTCCATAGACTAGAATAATCAATTCCATGTAAACTTACGATTAATTTCCATGGCGTAGACTACATAACAATTGGAAAGCAGGATTTTTGTTTTGTTTTGTTTTGACAGGAGGGGAGGAAAGAAAATAATATGATGGTTGAGAGAAAAGTAAAACAAGTGACTTAACAACATAATTGTTTTGCTGTGAAGAAATACAAATATTTTAAGCTTGGGAATTATTGATTCACACTTAGAAACAGTGATCTATTTAGAAGAATTACATACATTAATAATTCTAGAAAATATATATCATGGATATTTATTTTACCTTATGTCATAAGCAAGAGCAAAAGCTCACTAGTTAAAAATACTGTGAAAAAGACATGTTACTGGCAGATGATCAGGTTAACCAATCACACATTCCCTATATTCCAACACAAACACCTCATAAGCACAAATAACTACAAAATTATTAGTTAAAAGATCAAGAATCAAAAACCTACATTTAATTATGTTACTGAGAATAGCACAGCCTAAAGTTTACCTGTTTATCTTCTCTCATAACCCAATTTAATGAAAAAAAAAAAAGTCCAACAATAAAAATACTACAGTTTATGCCTGGAATCCAGGGACTTTTAACATGTATGTATGTCTACCTAAACGAATATTCTTTTGAAACCAAATTAGATTTTTATGTTCTGGCTTACCAAGCTACTAACACACTTCAATAGTTGACTTTGCAATACTTGCAATAATGATATGGTCAGAATGACATTATAAAAGTTAGAAGCTACTGCATGAGCTGGTTATTGTCTAAACTAGAGACAGTAGATACACAGACAGCCCTACATTCTATATGAGAGGAAGATGATAGAAACTTTCTATTCCCAAAGAGCAGAACTCTGGAAGTAGCAACATGCTATTATAGCTGATGCTTTATGATAAATTACAACATGCAAATGAAAATGTTGGTCCTGAAATGGAAATGGGGCTAAAAGTGCCTCCTTCACTGGTGGAACATTTATTCAACTGTCCTGGTGAAATAGGTACAAGAACATTTGAGCTTTACATTCCTTCAATCCAGAAGACACCAGCTCAGCCTGCAGAGGAGCTGGGCCTACATTCCCCAGAAATCTGTGCAGGATCATAGCCCATTTCCTCTACTAACATCCAGATTATTTTTGATAATACAAAATAGCACTCTAGTAGTGAAGATGAAATGGGTAGCTATGTGGAAAATGGGCTCTGATGACTTGAAGAAGAGGATGGTGGGACGTACCAGTTACTCTGCCCTGTTCACTAGTTCATTCTACTGGAAAACACTACCAGCCTTATCCTGGGGTGGGGAGATACTGGGTTGAAGAAAAACTAGGCTATTGGCATTAGAACTGCATTCATGTGACAGGATGTCCATCAGGTCCAGTTCAAGGGAAGTGAGACTCTTTTGGAATTCTAGTGAATTATTTTTAGAATAAAAGAAATGACTGATGTCTGCAAATCCATGTTCCATAATTTGTTCTTATTTCTTTGTAAAATAATTTGATGCCTATGGTGGAGTGACAAATATTTTTTATTTCCATATTAATACATGCTCTTCCATTAATTTGGAACTGATCATCTGCCTCAGAAGCAGGGAAGAGAATCTTACTATGAATTCTACTCTTACGGTCTATCTGGTCTGCAAACACCTCTCCATAGATCATCCAGTAGGGCATGTAGAAGATGTTTCGGGCCAGTTTCCAAGAAGGCTTCTCCTCTGGATGCAGAATGGCTTGACGGGCTACTCCAAAACTCATGAGCACGACCAGCATGATGACCACAAAGTACAGCATGTCGATCATCTGAGTAAGGAGAACATTTGTCTCTCACTGTCTTGGCTCATGGGCCAAGTTCACCCTGGCTCATTATATTGCTCTCTCCAATTAAGCACTTCACGAATTCTTAATCAGGATGAAGAAAGCCTCTTTCCCTTCCTTCCTTCCCATCCCTGGGAAGGCTTTTTCCTACTCCGTGCAATGCTTTATGCCTAGAATGTCTTCTAGAACATTGCTAGCCTCATCGGCTCTTCATCCTTCTTGCTTCTCCTCTGTTATTGCCCATAAACACATGTACCTTAGTAACTAAAACTGCAAATGGACAAAGGGAAGAATTATGAGAAAAGATGGGAGTTTGTAAGGGATACTAAGGAGTAAGAGGAGGAAATACCTAAGGAAATAAAACAATAATGAATTGAGAGTGTAGACCAACATTTATTCATTCACTACACAAGTGCTGAGTGGTTACAGTGAGCAATGCCCTGGTTACTGTGGATACTAAACTGGTATAATTCCTAATTTTGAACATCCCTTGTTCAAGATGGAGGCCCTTGCTGGAGTTTACTAAAGCATACATCCCTTAGCTCAAAACCACTTGCCTTTAAAGAATCCTTCCTAAAGGTAGGAGGCTTGCTTTCTTCTTGCACCAGTCCTAACACTGAGGCTCTTTTAGGTAATGTAAGGATGGCCTGCTGGTTCATTTTCAGTTTCATATTCTCTGGCCTGTTCTGGAGTATAAGTCATCATGGTCTAATCACATGAACTTCCTGTATTCACTCCAGGCCAGAGTGAATGAGCTGAAGATCATCTGGAGTACAGGTTGGGAATTGGCCTTGGGCTCCCTTTGTCTCTGGCTTCTGCCATATGTTAGGAGGTTATAAATCAGGCAGTTTTTTGTGTTTTTTTTTGGACATATGTGTATTCTGAAGGGGATGTAGTCTCATAGAACATCAAATCCATGTCCCTGAAAATATGTTTCCAGCCATCAACAAGTAAATATTTTGAGACATCTATTTTGCTACTGAATTCCTATTGCATCAAAAATTGATGCTCTCTTATGTCCTGGGAAAGTGAATTAAGCTCTTATAAAAAAAGGAGGCTATTTTCTTTAATGTTGCTGTCAAAATAGGCTCATTAATAATAAATCAGAAGGAATAAAAAGCAAAAGTAATTAGTCATCCTACAGTTGAAATATGGTATGGAAGAAGGAAGACAGTATATATTGAGTACCTGATATATATTGAGAGATATATGTATGCATATTGTGTGTGTATACACACTATATATGTATATATGTTATTTATGTATACACAGTAGGCCTCAACTCATGTTTTTCTATCGGATTTTATTAAGTTATCAATACGTAGGAGAACTGTGTATCTTAAAGCAAAGAATATTTCCTTTAAAAGGCCAACTGCAAAAGGAAAACCAAATGAAATTGAAGGAAGCCATGCCCAAGGCCTGTTCTTATGCCCTAACCACAGCCAAAGTCTCTCTGGATACCCACAGGATGCCATTACTAACCATCTTTCCAATCATCATCACGTATGGCCCCAGATACTTGTTGACACCAAAGATGTCCAGGACACGGATGTACCAGAAGATGATATCCACACAGTAGATTACCCGGCCATAGCCCATGTAGGGCTGGTTCTGTAGGCGAAGAATTGCTCCAATCATGAATGTGGAAATGGCCACGAGATCTGTGATGTTCCAGTACTCCTGAAGCCAAACTTTGATTTTCTGGCTGAGTTTGCCTGGTTCTGACATGAGGATCTGAAAACAAACCCCAGAGAACAATAAACTGAGATGCCGTATTAGAAGTCTTGTCTTAGAATATTGGAATGATAAGACTCGTGGAACATTCCAGGGCATGTTCTGGCCCCTTTCCTACTCAAAACCTCTAAACACTCTTCTTCTCAGGGAGAGAGAGATATCTAGAAAGGGAAATTCCATGGGATCCTCCCTATTCTTAGATTCAGGGTTTTACAAACTCAGGAAATGCCTTCTAAATTATGTCCTTCTGGCTGTAATTAAAGCAGCTGCATTTTGATTTCTTTTTTAATTATCTGGACACGTGCCTGTTACTCCACATTCCAGAGTCACACAGGACAAAAACTCTAGAGCACAGATGAGCCCCACGTGGCCCCACAGAGGGGCAGTCCACCCAGTGGAGATGGCAGAACGGGGCTAGGAAATGTTTTGATTTGGCAAAATTCCTTTGCAACTTAGACATGAGAAATTAGGGGAAAGTTAGACCAGGTTTTCCCCTACTTGAGATATTATCCTTTCAAAATCACTGCTGCTTAAGGGGAGACTTCCACAGAATAAAATGGAAGATATTTAGCAAGCAGCACGCGCAGGCGTATGCAGAGCCTTCCCAATGGCACAGCTGTCTGTGGTGCCGCACTGGGTGGAGGGTTGCCATGCCAGGTGGTACCCCTTCAGTTGCAGAGGTCTTGGGGATCTCTGTGGGTGGTTGGGGCAGGATGGGACAGTGGTTTTCTATCAGCCCACACAGAAGGGATTCACTAGTTTAACAACCCGTGCACACCAGCTGATGGCTGCCCTCTCTCTCCTATAACTGGGGGCAGGTTCCCGGAATACAGAACAGTGTCTTGGTGTATGGTGGATCCTCAGCAAGGTCATGACAGCACAGTGATGGGAAAGCAGGCTGCTCAGGAAATCCCAGTTGCAGCACCTGCAGAATTTGAAGGAAGCCCCGCTAGAAAAGGAACAGTAGTAGAAGGTGGCATGTGTAATTTTGGATTCAGTGCTCTTTTGGTTTTTCAGGCTCTAGTCCGATGCCATCAGATTCCCTCTACCTGGACTAGGTTAATAATGTTTTTCAGTTCAGTGAAAGGGTCAACAGTTATCGCAAAATAATAGTATTGGTTGTGTATCAGTTGCAGAAAGGATATGAAATGGTGCTGTGGGCTTTTTCAGTTCAAGGTGCTTTTTTGCTTGGGTACATGCTTTCTCTTTATAAGCAAATTTAGTGAATTAAAACTTCTGAATGATACTGGAAAGGAAAGTACCTGGCCCATCTTTCCTCTGCTGTCTGCAGAGATTGCCTACTGGGAGTTACATTTTCACTCGAGCCCTCTGGGATGACAAGAGTCGTTTGTGAGATGGTATCTGTTCTTTTTCAACACTGAGTTGAAAATCCTGTTCCCTCTGTTTGCAGCAAATGCTCTAGGCCCCTCCCATATCCCCTGGAGCTTCTCCCCAGGAGGGCTTGTCCACCCCACTTGCCGCAGGTGCTGCTGTTAGGCCCACGCCTGCACCCTTCTGGGAGGCTTGCTCTTGGACACTTGGAGCCATGTCTCTGGTGGGTACCAATGACTAATTGAGGTGGGGCCCAAAGGTGAGACAGACGCCACAGTGTCCAATTCACTCAGAGCCCCCTACAGGATTAGGCCAAGGACAGGGTCCACCTGAAGCCACACCTCACTTAGCTCCTTTCCTCCTCACTGGGAGCCCTCCCTTCATAAATCTCTTACACAAGAGTCCAGAGATAAAAGAGATGATATATTTCCTGCAACTTTGGGCTTTGGACCACACTGTGCAAGTGTCCCTTGTATCTCTCTTTCTCGCTTCTGGTCCCAAAAAACTAAGCCAAAATTTGTACCCAGTTGTGGTAATTTGGTTTATTTCAAGTCGCCGGCAGCATTTGCTGATGCTTTCCTATGCATTCAAACCTGTTTTCATTGTTAAATACCTTTATTTTGCCTCGTGTTTGAATTTCCAAGTTCAAGTTCATTCAAGATGTATACATCTTAAATAAATGAATGGAATAAACTTGGAATTGTGAGTACAAAAAAAGTCCCACAGCATGTATAATTTGTTTTTCTGTTTTTGTTTTCGAGATGGACTGTCACTCTGTCTCTCAGGCTGGAGTGCAGTGGTGCCATCTCAGCTCATTGCAACCTCTGCCTCCCGGGTTCAAGTGATCCTCCCACCTCAGCCTCCTGAGTAGCCAAGATTACAGGCACCTGCCACACGACCGGCTAATTTTTGTATTTTTAGTTGAGTTGGGGTTTCACCATGTTGGCCAGGCTGGTTTTGAATTACTGATCTCAAGTGATCCTCCCACCTCAGCCTCCCTAGTAGCTGGGATTGTAGGCGTGCATCACCACACCTGGCTAATTTTTTTATTTTTAGTGGAGGTGGTGTTTCACCATGTTGGACAGGCTGGTTTAGAATTCCTGACCTCAAGTGATCCACCTGCCTCGGCCTCCCAAAGTGCTGGGATTACAGGCATGAGCCACAGTGCCTGGCCCAACATGCATAGTTTGCATGAAATGTTTTTTCAGTAAGGAGCCATATTTGCATTTGCAGTCAGGGGTTAGTGGGCTGGGGCAGGCCTTTGGAGTAGCCACCTCTCGTATCTTCTCTAACGCCAGGCTCACGATGTAGGAGATCACAATCCATTCCTGGAGGGAGGGCCAGCCATCCATCCGCACCAGGATGACATAGTTAAACAGCAGCAGGTAGCCCAAGTATGATATCTGAAAGAAAGACAAGCTGTTAGCCGTGTTTGGGGGAATAACATTGCAATCAAATTTTGACACCCATTTTCTTTCAGGTTGACACATCTAAAAGAATCTTTGTTTCCAACTGGACTGACTTATTGAGAGGAAATATTCCCTGCACCTCACCAGTGAAGACAGAAGACCTGGAAGCAGGATGGGAGGCATTTTATACTTCAGCATGATATGGGCCCTGACTTTCCATTTTCTACATGGAGACATATTTGTTGGTGCTGTCATCCTCACGGGGAAACTATGAAGTTGCAAACATTGTGATAACGGGAAACTTTTAATAGTTTGCTGGAGTGTCTTCTACATTCCTGGAAATTGGAAAATGTTACTTACTCCTCCCTGCCTCACAAATTTCCTTCCTGATTCTTTCCAGAACTGGGAAGTCAGATGAGAGGACATGCAGATGAGTTGCCCACCCAGACACGCGAGCTGACCCTAGGGTCCCCTCAGTTAGTGGTGGCATGTCCAGGATTTGCTGTGGCCGCAGCAGGGCCCCATCTCTGTGGCAGGGAAAGAGGCAGAGCTGGAGGTGGGGGTGGGTGAGGCAAAAGCGGGGAGTTAAGGGGCTGGGGGAGGACGTCTGAAGTGGGTCACCTGTCCCTGGTGGTTCACCAGGACGCCAAGAAAACTTCAGCTTCTGGGTCCCTCACCGGCACAGGCCCCTTTGGAAGGCTTGGGGGAGGGCTGCTAGAAGTTGAGTATTTGTAATTGGGCATTTTTTTTTTTCCAAGATCCCACCTCCCAATCCTATACATTTTACCAGGAGACAGGCAGGCCCCCCCAGATCCACTATCCACTCCTCTAAGAAAGATTAGAGCCAGGTTCTCAGACTTTGGGCTGCAACCTAATCCCTGGGAAGCTGTACAGTGTGTGTTGACTCTACCCGATCCAGAGGGTCTGGGGCGAGGCCCAAGGCTGAGAGGCTTCGATGGCTTCCTGGCCCCATCCCTGGCAGCAGCCTCTATGGCTGGGCTCTCCTGTAGGCTGGGTGAACCTCAGGCCCTCAGATGGTTCTGACCAGAATTGATGGGCAGCAGTGACTTCGACTGTATCATCAATCATGGCTGCCACAAGGTTGGGTGTCCAGGCCCACAGCTGACCCTTGAGGTGGGCCCCCACATGGAGCTTTGCTCTGCCCCCAGTCCACCCTCATTCATCGCCCAGACCATGGCCAGGGACCCAGCTCATGTCCCATGCCCTGTTCCCACCTCATCACCAGTGCAACCACGGCCCCGAGACCTGCCTGGCATGGGCTGCGGCTTGATGCTTCGGGTTTCATGAGAAGTGTCTTTCCTCCCGACTGACACGGTTGCACAAGCCACAGCATGCCTGGCCACCCCCGCTGGTACTTCCTGCAGCTCGGCCATTTCCCCCAGAGGCGCTCTGATCTGCCCTCCTGCCTCCTCTCTTCCTCTTGTTAGCAGAGAGCCACACTCTAGGAGCTGTGTAGACCCGGGCCTCAGAGGGGGATGGAGGATGGCTTGCCAGCCAAGCTGGTCAATTTGGTGAGCACTTCAGAACGAGAGGCCTGGATTTGTTTCCCTATTCAAAGAGTTTACTATCTGGATTTAGCCATGCCCTTGTAATGACCCCACCAATTTCATGAAAAATGCAATCTGTGAATTTGCTCTTTAACTCACTAGTCATCTCTGTTCATTTAAAAATAAAATTATAGTTCCCTAAGTTTGTATTGCTAAAGGCATCAAAAGAGTTCATCGTAAGCAAACAGCATGTGACTGTTTTGCCTTATGAGATGGTGTATTTGGGACTAGGATGGCCATATATCAATATATCACATATATCAATATATGACAGGATATCAAGATCCAATGTTAGCCAGAGATCTCAATTAGTCCCAGTTTTGTTTTCATAATTCATTTTAATTCAGTGAATTTTTAGATACTTTTTTAAGCCCTTGAAATTTTTCTTGATTCCAACATATCAAAGCATTCAAAACATGCCGAATGTCAAATGTTTAAAAGAAGGCCTTACTGTGTAAAACCAGAACTTGACAATGGGCGCGTTATAAAATTCACAGATCTTTGTTCCGATGGGAATACTTCTCTGTTTTTTGTGCTCATTCTCCTCGTCCCCCTTTCTTGAGCCAGCATCTGCATTCGCGTCCTGGAAAACAGAGCACAGCACATGACAGGCAGGTGGTTAAATGAGAAATGCAAGGCACTCCAGCACACAGGCACCATTAAAAAAAACAATTCCAAAAATGCTCTTAACCAGTGAGATTTCTCAATCCATAGTACAAGAAATCTCAACAATTTTTAAAACGAGATCACACTGATACTCTTAGGGTCAAGTGTGTCACTGACCGTATTCTCCTCTTCTTTTTCTTTGCCATCCTCGTTTTCCTTGGATGTTTGATACGAGAAATCATCATATGTGCGAAATTCTAAAAACAAGATGGTGGGAGGAAGAAGAATCCCCATGATAACCTAGGGGACATAAATCGATTTTTTAAGCTGTGGCAATTCTAGAAAAATTTCCCAGCATAGTTAAAATTTTTTAATTATGACCTTCAACATTGTTCAATAACCTAGGAGCCCTGGGATGTTTATCCCTGGTCTGATGTTCTGTGACATGTGCTTAGTACGTTGGTAGAATTGCAGGCAGTAAAAAAATTTAAGAACATACACTAAATTTTTTAAATGAATGGCAAGCAGCACTATTGGTGATCCTAACTTTAAAAAGAAAAGTCCTGACTAGCATGGTGGCTCACACCTGTAATCCCAGTACTTTGGGAGGCCAAGGTTGGTGGCTCATATGAGGCCAGGAGTTTGAGACCAGCCTGGCCAACATGATGAAACCCCATCTCTACTAAAATACAAAAATTAACTGGGCATGGTGGTGCACGTCTGTAATACCAGCTACTTAGGAGGCTGAGGCACAAGAATCACTTGAACCCAGGAGGCGGAACTTACAATGAGCTGAGATTGTGCCACTGCACTCCAGCCTGGGTGACAGAGCAAGACCCTGTCTCAAAAAAAAAAAAAAAAAAAAGTCCTTACATGAAATTTCAAGGAAGGCAAATCTTTACATTAAAATATAATAATATAAATAAAATATAATACCTCTAGTGAAGTAGGCCAAATGTATTTTATATAGAACTACCATTGATATAAATGAGATTATGTGAACTAAGAGTTGCAAGGCTCAGCCTAGACAACAAAAGGATGCCCGGATGCCCAGGCTCATAGAAAACATGCTTCCATTTATTTATTTATTTATTTATTTATTTAGAGACAAGGTCTTGCTTGGTTGCCTGGGTTGGAGTGCAGTGGCACAATCATGGCTAGCTGCATTCTCGATCTTCTGGGCTCAAGTGATTTTCCCATCTCAGTCTCCTGAGTAGCTGGGACTACAAGTGTGCACCACCATACCTGGCTAATTTTTTTATTTTTATTTTTTGAGACAGTCTCGCTCTGTCGCCCAGACTGGAGTGTAGTGGCACTATCTCGGTTCACTGCAAGCTCCACCTCCCGGGTTCACGCCATTCTCCTGTCTCAGCCTCCCGAGTAGCTGGGACCACAGGCACCTGCCACCACACCTGGCTAATTTTTTGTATTTTTAGTAGAGATGGGGTTTCACCGTGTTATCCAGGATGGTCTCGATCTCCAGACCTCGTGATCCGCCCACCTCTGCCTCAGAAAATGCTGGGATTACATGCGTGAGCCACCACGACCGGCCTACCTGGCTAATTAAAAAAATTTTTTTTTAAAATAGAGATGGGGTTTCACTATGTTGCCCAGGCTAGCCCTGTACTCCTGGGCTCCAGTGATCCTCCTGCCTTGGCCTCCCACGCCCGGCTGCACTTCCCTTTTTGACAGCGCTTTTCCACACTCTACCAATGGTTCAAGATCGTTTTAAACTTTAGTTTGAATCATAACTGAACTTTAACTTTTGTGTGCACTTCATTGTTTTTCCTGAAATGTATGGATTCGCCTTCTATTTTCTTGTTAAGTATTATAAACTGTTTTGCTTCCTTAACCTGTATTCCTGACACTTGGGGGCTTCTTAGTCATTCTGTCTATTTATTGGAGTTATTTCTATTCTCCTTGAGTACTTCCTTTTTGGATCCCACAACTCCTTGGCCTCATTTAATCTGACCGCCTTTCTCTCGGCTGCACAGCTTTTGAATGGCAATTTATAAAACTTGGGGCCTGTTTCTTACACTCCACACCACGTTTTTTCATTGTAATTTTTACCTTTTTTTTTTTGCTTGGACTACCTACTAAACTAATTCTTCTGAATGGGAGGTTGAAGGTGTATAGTTTGAGTCTTTGCCTGTCTTAAACCGATGTTCTTGTCTCATGCTTTTGAATAGTTGACCTGGGTAGAAAACATTCCAGGCTCCAAATGCTTTCCCCTCAGAACTGTGAGGCCTTCCTCCACTGCTGCCTTCTGGGTTTCAGTGTTATTGATGAAAAGTCTGATGCCAATTCGATGTTCATCCCCATGTAGGTGATCCACCTTAGTTTCCTCAAAACCTTGAAGAGCTCTTTATTCTTGGAATTCTGAAAACTGTTTATTAATATCCTAAGTTACGTATAACATCAGCTTAGCATATGATATAGAATTAGACAGACATAATGGTCATATTTCTAAGAAACAAAGTGCCCTCTATTTGTCAGAACCATACTACACAGTATAACTTGTACAGCCTTTTCTTTATCCTCATGGAGATCTCTAAAATAGATATAATACTGCCATTAGATTGCCAGGTTATCTGCAGATTAGAATCTCTTCTCAAGATAAGCTAGCAGTTAACAGCAGCAAACCCCAGAGCTAGGGTTTGATTGCAATATAATTTTTCCCCCACTATATCTTTTTCAAACCCTTTCGTAGCTTCATATTTTCTCATAATTTTCTCCCATGTCATGAAAACATTGCTAGTAAAATAATATACAATTTCAGAGTTATAAGGGAATCTAGAAATAGAGTTCCAGTCCCTGCTTTAATGGTGGGTAGATGACCCAACCAGGGTGCGTGTGCATGCTGAGTTATGGGGGGGCTCCATTAGGAGACTCTGACTGTGGCGGGGGTTTGTGCAGCCTGATGGGCTGGTCAGGCAGGGCTGAGTTAGACCACCTGGGTGTGGGTCCTGATCCCGTGCTGACCAGCTAAGATCCCAGGCATGTCATTTCATCTTAAAGCTTCAGGTTCCTCATCTATAAGACAATGATTGTCATGACGTCTCCCTCAGGGGGTTGCTCGAAGGAATAAATGAAATAAGCCACAGAAAATGCTCAGCTCAGCCTGGCAGAGAGTCGCTTGTCACTGTCGCCCCGGCCCGCCTCGCAATGCGTTGCACGCACCTTCAGGCCGGGGTTCTTCCGCATCCGCAGCCTTCCCATCCACATGTCGGTCAGCAGCATCTGGCTGCAGGTGTGAGCGATGAAGTCCCGGTGTTTGGCTGCCACGGCCAGTTTGAGACAGGTCGAGTTGCTCCAGTTTTTCAGCTCGTAGGTCAGGAGTTTCATGGCGATCTGCTCGTCGTGCTTATAGGACTGATCTAATAACTCCAAAGCAAGCTGGCCGAAGTCTCTGGGGGAAAAAAGAAGGGACCAGGGTGAAGCCACAGTGGCCGCAAGCTCTTTCTTAGGCATATCCACAAGGACTTACGGAGCCAAGGGACACAGAATCCTTCACTGGAGGGGCTTTGAGGTTCTCTGCAAGCGAGAAGCTCCAGGGATGTGTCCCCAAAGGGGGATGGCCAGGGACAGTGGCTGGGAGCTCAGTCAGGAGGGGGGCTGACTGCTTCTGCTGCAAGTGGAGCTGTAGGTTGAGACCACATCTGTCCCTCAGGCCCCAGGGACATGGAGATGAGAAGACAAAGTCCCTTCCCTCAAGTCGTGCATAAATCAGGAAGGCGGACAGAAAAGACAGCAAAGATGACTTCAAATGCAGCACCTGTGGAGTTGGAGCCCCAGTAGTGGGGCTGCTGGTGGTGGTAGCTGGGGGGAGGTGGACACTGGAAGGGGGTCACAGGAGGGCTGGTGGGTGCCAGCTAGGTTCTTAGTTGATCTGGGTGCTGGTGGTGCTGGCATGTCCCACCTGTGGACTGTCACCAGCTGGACATTTCAAATGCATGCCTTTCTCTGCACGTGTAACACTTCACCATCACAGTGACTACAGAGAAGCCAACATTCTCAGTGCTATGACAGAGATAAGGCATAGTTGTTATAGGGCCCAGGCCAGAGGGCACCTAATGACTGATGGGGGCAGTGATAGAAATTGGGGGTCATGGAGAAGGTGGCACAAGCTGAATTTTGAGCATAAAGTTTACTGCCTTCCCCACATGACCCAGATTCAAATATTTGGCAATAACCATACACATTCTGAGTTCCTTCAATTTTTTATAACAGAATGTGGTTAAGACACGGTCCCGAAGTGATCGCCCTCCTCTGCTTTTGTTTCTCCGTTGTATAGAAGATTTTATTTCAGTAACGAGAAGGATAAGGAAGGCAGAATCACGTGTGGGAGAATGGCCTCCTCTGTCCCTGAAGAGGAATGCTATCAGCAGCACCTCTCAGCCCTCCTGCAGGCTGCAGAGTGACCACGTGTCACCATGTGGGGACTCTAGGAAGCAAAGGTTGGCATCAAAAAACCCATGGGGTAGATGGACATGGCCCCATTATTAGGGAGTCTTGAATTTCTGACGTTTAGAAATC